ATACAAGGTTTCTGTAGGATATCTAGATTTTTTTGAATAAATTAACTTTAGAAATCGCCTTTGTGTGACTTCTAAAGAGTGAAGGTGTGTTTTCAAAGCTGCACCCCACACAGTGATTGCATACCGAAGATGGCTTTCAACTAGAGCACAATAAAGGGTTTTAAGATGGTGTAATGGTAAAATATCTTTTAAAAATTTGAATTTGTACAAAATACTGCGTAGTTTATTTACCGTGTAGGATATGTGTAGGTTCCATTTTAAAAAAGGGTCTATTATTACTCCAAGGTATTTAATTTTATTTTTATTTGAAATGAAAAAAGAGTCTCCGCCATCAGTAATTTTTAGGTGATTAAACGGTGGTGCACCATATGAATTGCAGCTAAATGGTAAACAATGTGTTTTTTCTATATTTATAGTCAATAATTTTTTATCCAAAAATTTTTTAATAATTAGAAAGTCTTGTTCCGCTTTAGTTTTTAAGTTAATCCAGCTATCGTCAGAATAGAAAATAGCTGTGTCATCCGCGAACCCAGTTATGTTTCCTATACTTCCCTGTAAAAACAAATCATTTATATATTATGTTATAAAGAATAGGACCCAGTATAGATCCCTGTGGTACCCCATATTCGATAGCTTGCCATCTACTGGAAACTCCATCCACTCTTACTGCCTGAAATCTCTCACTTAAATAGTTTTTAAACAATTTTAACGAATTACCTCATATGCCAATGCTCTCTAAGGCTTGTAGGAGTAGATTGTGACATACAGTGTCGAAAGCTTTCGACAGATCAATAAAAATGCACAAACATGGTTTGCTTTCATTTAGGGAAGTTGTTATTTTTGAAGTTAGGTTTAGAATAGCATCTTCCGTTGATTTTTTTTCTCTAAATCCGTACTGCTGTTCAGATATTATATTAAATTTGTTCAAGTATGATTGAAGCCGATTTTTTATTAGTTTTTCGAAAATTTTAGATAAGTGCGTAACTAGTGAAATAGGTCGATAATTAGTAGGATCCGTTATGTCCCCTTTTTTAAATATAGGTGTAATAATGGTATTTTTAAATGCCGAAGGATAAATAGCTTTTAGTATACATTGATTTAAAATATATGTTAAAGGTTGACAGATATATTGTGAAATTGTTTTAAGAGTTTCAGCTTTGATATTACCATTGCCAGTAGCCTTATGATTTTTGAGTTCGTTAATTATCACTGTAACCTCATTGATTTTGACTGGCGCAAAGAAAAAAGAATTTGGAGTTTTTTACCCATATTGGCATAAGTGTTATTGAATTCATTAGCTATTTCATATTTGTCTGTCAATGGATTACCTAAACTATTTTTAATTATATCAATTTCTTTTTTCTTAACCTTCGATTTACTAATGTCCTGTATTACACTCCATAGGCCTTTAGAGCTATTTTTATTTGTATCAATTTGCTGGTTATAATAATTATACTTAGCCTTATTTATTAACGAGTTAAGTTTATTTCGAAATGTTTTATATTCTCGTAATAGTTCAATATTATTTGGATATTCTTGAATATTGCGAAACATTTTATTTTTTTTATTAATCGAGTTAAGCAGGCCATTTGTCACCCAAGGAGCAATTTTAACATTTTTTCTTCTATTTAGGCGCCTTTCGGTACATAATGCAAGACTCTCTTGAATTATATTAAGAAATTTGTTCCTTGCAGTATCTGGATCGTCTGAATTATATACAGGGAGCCAACACATATTTTGAAATATATTATTTAGTTTATTTGTGTTAATAAAAGTTGAATAGGTATCTTTATGTTTTTTAAATTCTGTTTTTTTTTCCTAACATGACTTGCAGAATTGTAGTGAAATGATCTGTTATTTGGCTTTTAAGAACTGAAGGAATTATTTTATCACTGACGTAATTGTTTGATCGAAGAAAAATATGATCCAAACATGATTTACTATTACCTTGAACTCTAGTGGCTTCATTTATAGTAGAATTGTATCCAAATTCAGTAAGTGTGTTTAGATATTCTAGGCAAGTATTTTCCTCTGGTGATAACAAGTCAATGTTTTATCACCTATGAAGATGCTAATTTCGTCATCACCTTTATGATGAGCGTCATCTTCGAGAAATCTATATAAACCTTCATTAAAATCATGCAAATTTGAACTAGGTGGCCTGTAAAATGATGTAATTTTAATTATGTTTTTTTCACCTAATTTGAGCCTTATATTAAAGGTCTATATTGTTAAAGATTTCAACTGTGGTATAACTAAATTTTAATGACGTTTTATATATATTACTTAGATTAATTGACAAATCATTAAAGTAAATTATAAAAAGTAAGGGTCCGAGAAGAGAATACTGTAGAACTCCATACAGTACTGAATTCTTGCCCGAAGTATGCCCATCAATTTGAACACATTGAGTTCTTTTTTGCAAATAAGATCATAAAATCTGGCGGTACTATGTAAACGATCCTCAAAACCATCCGTAACAGCTTTATAGAGATCACTTATTGCGTTAATTGTTGATTTGTTTGCCCTGTAACTGAATTGATTTTGGCTTAGCAACTTGTTGCTTTCAAAAAAATTCATTATTCGTTGTTTTAACACTATTTCAAAAATTTTGCTTACTATTGGTATAATTGAGATAGGTCTGTAAGCAGATGGTAGATTCATGTCCCTTTTTTGAAAACAGGGATAACTCGTGATATTTTAAATGTATCTGAAAAAACTCCAGATTTCATGCACAAATTAATTAGGTTAGCAATGGGAGTGTCTAAAATATCAACAACTGATTTCAACCAAACTGCACTCAATCTATAAATATCCCTAGCTTCAGAATTTTTTTAAATCTTTGATAATTTGATGGACTTCTGTTGTATCTGTGGGGTTCAAAAATATTGATAAATGATTAAAAGGAATTTTTTTAATAAAGCTACTAACATTAGTAGACTGCTTGCAATTTTCAACTAAATCGTGAATTACACGTTGAACGAAATCTGCAAAATCATCGACAAGACACATTGGTTTTAGAAGATTTATTTCTGCCCAAGTTGGTGTTAATTTTTTTCCAAGCTGTTTTTTCTCCTAGAATTGAATATTACTTTAGTAGCATCTAACTTTGACTTAATGTAACTTACATTTTGAGTGTTTGCTAAATTATTTTTACTTTTGATTACCTTCTTTTCAGGAAAACATTGTAGGTACAGTTTAGATAAAATGTTAATAATAATATTAGCTTGGTCATTCTCATTAAATTTATTTAAATCCCAACTTAACTTTTTTAATTCAGATCTAAAATTATTTATGGCCCTCTCAGTCATTGGCCTACTTATCGGTAATTAGTTTAAGTGTTATACCCCTGTGATCTAAAATAAAAGGCTCAATGATATCTATAATAAATTTTTCTTTCTCTAAATTTGTAAATAAATTGTCAACTCTTGTTCTATTTTTATCTGTTACCCTAGTATTTACAAACCAAACGATAAAAAAAATGTCTACAATCATTAACAGCTCTGGTGTTTTTCTTGAAATTAAAATCACCAACAACTACTGTTTTGGAGTCGAGGGGAATTTTTTGTTCAAATAGTGTATCTAGCATATTCACATATATATCAGTCCCCATTTGATGAACGATAAGTACTACAACAATTTTACTTTGAGTTAACTGGCAACAAGCAAATTCAGCATTTATCATTACAAAGATCATTGACATCTATAGTGCTGCAGGGTATGTTATTTTTTGCAAAGATACAGAACCATATTCACTAGAATTCTTTACATAACTTGATAAAACCTTAAAACCAGTCAACACACAGCAAACTCCAGTTCATCGTGTTTAAGCCAAACCTCTACAAGAATAAAAATATCTACCTTAAGTTTTTGTACCAACAACTGCATTATATTAAATTTATTACAAATACTCCTTACATTAATGTAATATATATCCTTGTATATATCATTCTTCAATTAGAAAAAAAATCAATAATTTTGACGAATTGATCATGAATAATATACAAGTTAGGCTATAGAATGTAGGGTAGATATAATTTAAGAACTGAAGATGTTTATTTTATTAGAAAAACACAAGTATTAAATATAGTATATATTGTAGAAGGTTTAAGGTTAAATGATATTCTTCCTTATTATATTGCATAAAAGCTACATTTTTAATTTATTTTCTTTATAATAATTATTATACAAACACGTAAGATTTCTAAATAAAATGTATTTTTTATTAAACGCATGTACTTACATTAGTTTTGTAGCTAAAAAGTATTTATTCAATATATTTGTATTCTTTAGGCTCCTATACATAAGGGACTCGAGAATTCCCCTTTTTGGAATGAAAAACAAAAACTTTTTCTAAAGGGGAAGTCCCCGTTGTCACTTTTTAGAAAGAATTTTGTGTATTTACTTATTAACAATTAATTATTAAGACCAAAGGAAATTCGTGAAAATAAAAAAGTACTCACTTTGAAAATAACTGAACATGAACGCAATTAAATTATACATTAAAAAGAAATTAAAAAAAACTTAAAATTAAGTTTACATATTACTCATGCAAAAATTAAAATTATTTTTCCGACTTCTTTTTTCTTTTCTTACTTTCTCTTCTTTTTCAGGCCGAAATCTTGAATCTGTCAAATAATGGGCCTTTTATTATATATGTATGCAGAGACCGATTAATGGATTTCATTTCTTTTTTCTTTATCTATCAAACGTATTTTCTGTAATGAAGTATTCGAATCTCAAAGCGAGTTTGCAGGTTTGTTGAACTATAATAGAATAATAAAGTTGTCCGGTTGTAATAATTGCAATCGAAAATTGACTGAATAATCAATAAGAAAAAGATATGTAATAGACAAGAAATTAAAGTTTCTTCTTTTTCAAATTTTGGAGGTTATGTTCATGTTTACATTTTTACATCAAGCTTCGTAAGCAATACCAGTAAACAGCTGGTATTATTTAATAAAAATTTTAAAATTATAACTTAAAATAAAAATATAAGACTAAAACAACCTAATTTTTGAAGAAACATGCTCAAAAATAGGTTTCTGCTCTATGCAGGAGGAATATTTATTTCTTACTTTTACTTTGGTATATTACAAGAAAAAATTACCAGAGGCAAATATACTTATGAAGTGATTAATGAGGATGGTACCAAAACTATCGAAAGTGAAAAATATACATACTCAGTGACTTTAGTGCTAGTACAATGTATCATCAATTTTATAGTAGCAAAAATAGCTTCAACCATGTGGCCACAGGGTGAAGATACAACTCAAAAACTATATTATGCTAGCATGTCGGTCACTTATTTACTCGCTATGATTTGTTCTAATATGGCATTACAATGGGTACCCTATCCAACTCAAGTCGTAGGAAAATCTGCTAAACCTATACCCGTAATGCTTCTAGGAGTATTAGTTGGAAAAAAAACTTATCCAACTCGCAAATATATTTTTGTTTTCATGATAGTTTTTGGTATAGTGCTCTTTATGTTGAAAGACAAGACTTCTTCCCAAGCTGAGGATACTTCTATGGGTATTGGTGAGTTGCTGTTAGTTCTGTCTTTAATTATGGATGGATTAACTGGAGCTATTCAGGTAAAAATGTATTAATTTACTGTGGATTTTAAGGGGAGTATGTAGGTAGGTAGGGTCAGATTACAATTAGAAGAACACAGCTACATCATCATTTGAAAAAGTAATTAATTGCTATACCTAATAACTTACTTATTTCTTATTTATTGATAGTTATAGATATGTTTTTGAATTTCAAAGTAATGGTTAAGACGTAGCTGTGTTCTTTTGATTGTAATCGGATCCTACTTAATCTACTTAATGTGATTATCAAGAAAACAAGATTTTAAAATATTTAAATTGTCTACATTTCTGAATTTTGTAGAAAGTGCTGCTAAAATATATAAATTGTCAGATTCCTAAACTGTGATCACTATCTGCTCAGTTTGTTTTCCTCAAAGTATGTGTCTTTCAATAAATATGTGCTGAACGAAATTTAGCAATCTGTTTAAAAGGACACACATTTCCTAATAAAAATTTGCTATATTCCTTTAATATTAACACTCCACTAAACCCCCAGTAGGCGAGGATAGCCAATTAATTACTTTGCCAAGTGATGACATAGCTGTGTTCTTATTGTAATCAGTGAACTTAACATTCTAATCATGAATTTGTCTCACTTTTAGGACAGGATTCGGGCTGAATCAAAGCCTACAGGCATTCATATGATGGAAGTGGCCAATGCATGGTGCACACTGTTTTTAGGAATTCTTCTGATAATATCTGGAGAATATTGGAAATTTTATGAATTTGCTTTAAGATATCCACCTGTAATAATTAATCTCTTGGCACTTGGGGTTACTTCAGCAATTGGGCAATTATTTTTATATTCCATGGTAAGTTCACTATAAAAAAATACAGGCTAAGTTTTTTAAATTATATACTATATATACTCCTAGTAGGAAGCTTTTAGTTCATAGATCATTTAAAAGGCGGCTTGACTTAGTTGTAATTAAATATTCATGATTCTATTTAATTAATTTATAAAAACGTATTTTGCAGGTCTCTGAATTTGGTCCACTGGTAGTATCAGTTGTAACCACAACCAGAAAATTTTTCACAGTTCTGGCATCTGTAATATTATTTGGCAACATTATTTCTGGTAGACAATGGATTGGCGCTCTCATCGTTTTTATAGCTCTATTTCTAGATGCATATTATTCAAAGGCACAACCAAAGAAAAAATAAATTTTTATTATTTTTAATAGGCACATTCCTCTTTTTTGTTTATTTTGACTTCAGAGTATTTATAAATGATTCTATGTATATAAAACCATTTATTTCTATTAAATTGTTAGTATAAAATTTACAAGAAACTCATTTAAATTATATGATGGCATAGTTATAAAAGAATCAGAATTTTGATAGAATTGTTATTTTATTTGATCCCTACCTCTCAATAAAATACGAGGTGTGATAGAAAAGTAATTAGGGAGTTTTTGACCTCAAAAGACATTTATTTATTTATTTATTTATTTAACTACGTTACATTAGTTTACAATGTTTGTAGCAAGTCTGAATAAAATCGAATTTTAAAAACCATTATATATAGTACCTACACAAAAAACATTTATATAAATAGTAAAACTAAAAACACACAAACATAATAAAAATAGTTGTATATATATATTAATAAATTTTCAGTGTGCAATTCTTAGAGAAAAATAAAATATATGTTAGCGGTATTTCTCTATACTCCCCACCATACATTCTTGAAGTCCGTACACATGCGTGTCAGGATGGACGAGCGGGCGAAGGCAGACCAGCGCAGTGGGTAGTACGCTAATAGACAGTGGCAATACCACAGCAACATTGTAATTGAGAATACTTGATCGTGAAATAAACCATTGAAAAAGCAGTTTAGACATTTTTATTAGGAATGATACATCCCTTATGTTTATATCAGAAGTGAGATCACTACGCGTACCGCGGCTAATAGACTATAATTAATTATTTAAGTAGAAGTTAGTGCTAGTGACAATGGCGGACGAAAATCCTGAACCTCGTGACAGTGCGTCAGCAGAACACAATGTCGGTCGATGCTAAAGACAATGTGAACGGACATAGTTCAAAGCATGCTAAATTTCAGTGGTAATAAACATTAATAAACTTTGTAGCAGCCCAAGAGTAATAAATGTTGATGTATCTCAACATTCCAAGATGGCTACGTAACCGTTCGCCAAGCCAACGCCCAGAGTTGGAGGAGCAGATTAATCTAACACGCAAGCGCCAACATTCGCGCCTGTGCACTATTTTCGACTTACCAGCTATGACCCTGACAGTAGCGCATATTCCATAAACCAATGGCTTAAGTGATGCTAACCAAAATAAAAAACAAACTCAGCGTAAGAGATAACTTTATGGTCGCTAAATCGAGCAAAGCATCTAATAATCGCGGTTATTGTTATTGTTGTGACTGGCGACTTCTTTCTCGAACGTGGCAAGACTTTGTTATAACCTAATTATTGCATTCGCTGACAAGAAAACACCAGCTGCTCGTGAATACAAGGTTACGCTTCAATTCCATGATTGTAACTCACGGTGTGTGATTGTGAAAATCAAAAATTGTGGATCATCACTAAATTTTATAAAGCTTTGCTATGGCTTTCAGTTCCGGTATAGACAATTCAAAATCCAAATTCCGAACGTGAGTGGTGAGCTCATAAAATTACTTGCCGAAATTGATGCGATCCATGTTGACTTGAGTCCCCGAGAATGACGAAAAATGCAGAGATCATAAGAAAACCAAGAAGTCAGTTTAAACGAGAAGCCGCCGCCAAAATACCAACAAAATCCATGTCGGAGAATATAACAGGCGAGTACATTTAACGCAGTTATTAATCATAAAAAATCCGACAGTATTAGTGCATTAATTAAAAAAAAATGGGTCACTCCGAATCCAATTGTTGGTATAAACAAGGAAGTTTAAAGAAACATTTGTGTTAAAATAAATAACGCCATCTAAATTTGACACCGATTGCCATGTTATTATACTGTGAGCAAGCTCAGTCGTTAAAATTCCTTATTGATAGTGATGCTGACATATCAATAATTTAACAATCTGTAGTAAAAACATTAAAAGGATCGATTGGGCTAGCTGAATAAGATGCAGGTGCTTCTTGGAGTTGTTGACATTATCGCTTTTTGTTATTTGTTAGTCATTTGCCGACTGTTACATTAGAGGTCGTTCCAAATATTGTGGTTGCAGAAGATATTGTTATTGGATGCAATGTCAGATGCCGACCTTGTTTAAGTGTCGAGAAAAATGCCGATGGGATTAGGTTACATTATGACCTGCTCAACATTCAGAAAATGTTTACAATAAAAAATTGAACGATATGAAAATTAATCAATTAGAATTAAAAGACACTTTAAAAATACAAGTGAATAGACTTTTAACATTTTACAAGAATAAATCTCCTGACCACATAACTACCGGAAAAATGTCAATTAAGATTAAAATGCAGTACTCCAGTAGCGTATCGACGAAGGCGATTAGCGTATCAAGACAAAATTCAGCAGAAGAAAATTATAAACAGTGACATTATCCGCAGAAGTTACTTAAAATGAAGGTGGGTAAGGTTTTCTGGATTTTCCCCATCTGTAAGTCAAATGGCAGTCATCTTTAAGTCGTCCCGGAGCGTCACTACAAATAAAATGATAGCCGTTCTTTCCACACACAAGCTCAGTCAACTTTGGAGAATGAAATTCACTCGTAAGTACAAGGGGTGAATTAGGGAGAGTATTCCTATTGTATTATAAAATATAAAAGCCCTATTGTGCTATTAAAAAAAAAAAGGTTTTGAAGATAAAATTAATGCTTTTAAAATATTTTACCACGTTGGACATGAAGTCAAGCTTTTATCAAATTGAAATAGAAGAAAGTTCCAAACAGGTAACTGCTTTTGTTACTAAACCTATTGCATACTATAGTCGCCGTGCGACTGATTGTGAATTAAGGTAACATTTTTACAATCTAAAGACTTGTTATAGTGAAAGTGGTTGAACACTTTCGTGTGTATCTGTACAGTGTGCATTCAATAGTTTATACAGACTAATTCGGTTCGAGAAAAAGCAGTAAACAAATTATATACGAGCGCGGCGCGTTGATGTGATAAGTTATAGAATTAAAACTTTTCTATTGAGTACCACCCTGGACATAAAATGTAACATATAGATTATTAAAAAATCCAGTGAATTATGTAAGCGAGTTAAAAGTGTGCCCGTTAAAAACAATAAACAAACAAACAAAATTACCGATAAGCATACGCTCCGAGATTTCCAGCAAAGTGATACGATTTGTCATCAGATAATTAATAAGCCGGTTTTTGACTTTGACCTACCTAATTGTTAAATAGGACAACTATAAACAAATCTCCGAAATTATTGTATGTTCGTCGCAGCGCGATTATTTGTTTATTCTGACTTTATATATTGATGGGTCTTCACATATAGGATAGAATAAGGTATTCAGAGACTGTTTATTTTTATTATTTTATATTGGCCGAAAATGGGTCAGTGCTTTAAAAAAAAAAAATACATCACTTGACGTGAATTTTGGTAACATGGAAAAAGTCACATAACATTTTAGACACATAGTATATTAATCATGCAGGTTCTTTAGTGAACTCTAGTGGTTGTATTCAAATATTAGTTATAATCGATGCATTCTCAAAATATTGCAAGCTAGAAACAATTTCTAAGGATTCCATATGTTGTCTAATATCAATTATTGAAGAAATGAGATAACCAATATGAATTATTATAGCTGCTGCATTTAATTCAATAACTTACAAAAACTTTCTTAGTAAAGCAGATTGATTATATAGTAACCGAAGTGCCATGTGGAAATGGTAGAATGTGTAATGATTAACTCTCTTTAAATTATTATGAGCAACACTCTTAGCAGAAAAAGAAAACCAGTGAATAGCAGTAGAAGAGGCCGTCGTAGTATCACAAAAATTGATGACCGTCAAACCAAGGTTAACGATTCAATGAAACTAGGCGTCGAGCCACATTATCTAAGCCAGGCGATATCGTGGCAATTGAAGATTCACAGCTCGCAGGTGGGGGAAAATTGAGGCCAAAATACAAAGGGCCTTACACAGTTGGAGAGGTATTACCACATGAAATATATCAACTTCACAAAAAGCGACAGCGAATAACTGTAGCCGCTCAAGATCAGTTGCTATGGTCATCGAAGTAATTAAAAAAAAAAAGGTGAGTGGAAATCCCACAATATTAAATTAAAATAATTGTTTTTGTTGATTTATGGTGGAAATCCCACCAAATTTAACTAAATAAATTATGATAATAAATAGGCACTAGGGTTTAGTGTTGTAGCACTAGCGTTTAGTGTTAGGGTGGCAATTCCACCAAATGTTCCTGAATAAATCATAATAATAAATTAACACTAGAGTTTAGTGTTGTAGCACTAGTGTTTAGTGTTAGGGTGGCAATCCCACCACATGTTCCTGAATAAATCATGATAATAAATTAACACTAGGGTTTAGTGTTGTAGCACTAGTGTTTAGTGTTAGGGTGGCAATCCCACCAGATGTTCCAGAATAAATCATGATAATAAATTAACACTAGGGTTTAGTGTTGTAACACTAGTGTTTAGTGTTAGGGTGGCAATCCCACCAGATGTTCCTGAATAAATCATGATAAATTAACACTAGGGTTTAGTGTTGTTGCACTAGTGTTTAGTGTTAGGGTGGCAACCCACCAGATGTTCCTGAATAAATCATAATAATAAATTAACACTAGAGTTTAGTGTTGTAGCACTAGTGTTTAGTGTTAGGGTGTCAATCCCACCACATGTTCCTGAATAAATCATGATAGACTCCGTTTCACGAGAGAAGAACACAGCTGAAGTTGCAACAATGACAGTCGCAGAAACCAAATTATGTCGTGTTTACCTACGTCGCTTAGTAACGACAGGGTCACGCCACTGGCGTACAATGAATATTTTTATGTCGATAGTCATTTATTTATTTGTTAGCGACGTTAGCGTTTGACATTTAAGGTTATTTTTTTGGAATTCGTCTATTTGTTAAATATTTTTGATTTTGGATTATTTTAAGACATTTATAAGTGAGTGTTGTGTGTTCTATTTAATAAAACCATGCCTCCTAAAAAGCTTGTTGGTTTAAAAGGAAAAATTATCCACAGTCAAGGTCGGCAGATTATAAAAAATGTCTCATCTTTTAT